TAATAATAATAATAATAATAATAATAATAATAATAATAATAATAATATAGGAAATACTAATGCTCTGATGGTCATTTTGGAAAATCCTTTCTTAGTGAGCACCTAGAAGCCAAGAGGAACATACGGGCCCAATTTCAAGTTTGTAGGCTTTACGGTTCTGGAGATTTTGTGATGATGCGTGAGGGGCATTTCGTTTTGGGCATGTAGGTTCCATTTTAAAAAAAACACGGCAAGGGAGCTGAGATCAGTGTCATCAACCACAGATGACGACAGAGACAACCTGATGTGTTCAGAATAAAATCAAACTCCTGATGCAAATCCCTGCTTAGTCGTGGTTGCACTGCAGACAAGATTGTCCCCACCTTGTTGGTTGTTGTTTTTTTTAAGCCAAGCTCAAGGAACTTACAATATTTAGTAAGAAAAAAAGATTAAAGCATTTCCCCCTTTGGTTTTTATTTTATTTTCTCTCTTCAATTTATACAGATGTTTAATTAGCTTTATTTAAAATCCCCCCCCCCCCAGTCTTCAACAGGGCTTAGGTAAGCACCGTGCAAGAATGCCAGTTATAAAAGATAATCTATATCGACTTCTAAAAAATAGAAGTGATGATGACTTGACGTTGTTCAAAGAAGAGGCAGCTGGGCTACGCTGAAGCAGTTTCTGATCAGTTACTCAGGAGTAGTTCCGTTCCTCTGTACATCCCATGATTTCGATGACAAGGCCAATATTACTGCATTCTGCAAAGAAAAATAAGACAAGAAGCAACTGAGGTCAGAAGATGCACCTGTAGTTATAAGCGGCCCCTAACTTCATTATCCAAATACATTTTTATTAAGTTACTAGCTGAATACTCATGCTTCACTACAAAACTATGTGGTCGGGCTTAGTTTTGGGGGAGGAAAATAAGAAGAAAAAAATTGTGCCTCTGCTTACCAGCATCCATCACTATTCATCTGGCTAGCGTCTTGTCAGTGTGTGAGAGAACTGAAGGCTGTTTAGAAACTGAAAGAGTATTTGCTATGTGAGCAAAAAGGAGACAGCAAGGAGCCTGGTGTGGCTTAGCTCAACTGTTCTGTACTAAAGCTGCTTTGGTGCTGTGAAACTAAAACTGAAACTGAAACTCCTCCCCTCTGCTTGCCTTTGGAACAGATTTCTTTTCAGGTGGAGAGGGGGAGTAGAATTCCTTAGCATCAGAGCGTGTTAATAATAGTAATATACGAAATACT